TACGGGGCCTTGAGTACGAGTAGCGTACAAGAAATGAGTACCACTCGTACTCATACGGGGGTGAGTACAAGTTTTTATGTTTTGAACGAAATTTAAACTAAGGTTTTTAGCTGAAAACTCGTCCAAATTTGCTGCTCCTAAGACTCCAGCGTTCGTAAAACGTTGGGCCCCCTGGATATATGTGGACTCAGCTTGAGACAAGATACATCCAGGGGGCCTGGATCTATCTCGTCTCAAGCTAAGTCTATATACATCCAGGGGGTCCAGCGTCTTAAGAACATCAGACCTTCAGGAGCAGCAAACCCGGACCCTCAGGAGCAACAAATTTGAACAAGTTTTCGACCATACAACTCTGTTTCAATTTCGTTCAAAAAATAAAAAATGTCCATTTTGACGAAATGGCAGTTTGTTATAACAGAAGATCCATTCTCATTGCATGTCGTCCTCCTAATGGGGATAGATGGACGATATGCAAAATAAGAACAAATCTTCAGAGAGAATATGGGAAGATACACCATCATTTTTATTATCTTTTGTATACAAAAAATATGGGTTTTATGGTGGCAGAGGTGTGCACTCGCCCTGGATGGGGCGAGGGTGGAAGGGGAGGAGAGAATATAGTAGATCGAGCTCTAGATCCAGCTGGAGCTTATGTGGAGATGGCAGAAGATGAGGCAGGTCGTAGACCAGCTGCATGCAAAAAAAGATATAGCCACGCACATAACTCATTTCTGCAGGACAGATTGGGAGGAGATCGGGAGGGTTGGATTGCAAAAGTGGTATGGTCAGGGGATAAAATGGAGAGACAACAATATTGGAAAGAGGACAGAGAAATAGAGGTGGCTCATAAGTACCGTCCGGTTCTCAAGGACTGGACGAAGATTACTCCCATCTTACCTCGGAGACCTGCAGAGGAATCTCAAGACCCGTTCCCCCCACACTGGTTGGCAATGGAAGTTAGGATATGAAGAAGCAACGACTATGAGGAGGACAACAACAACTCAACAACTCTCTCCAACATTGTTCTAGCATTTGTACTAAGGGGTGCAAGACTTCATTTTTTTTATGCAAAAAAGAGGCAGCAGCAAGGTAGCTGCAAGCGAATAGGGGGTCGAAGGGACATACTGGTGTCTCCCAGTGGCCCCAATAGGCTCTCGGATCTGGCTTGAGAAAGCGGGGATGTTGGACCCGGTTTCCAGCTAAGAGTCGAAAACTGACCGTTCGATAAGGAATATTGAACTCGGTTTCCAACACTAGTGAGCCCATCAAAATTTGTTTTATCATTTTATCTCATCACAATGGACGTTGGGCCCGTTTCCTAACATGTCATGCTTCCCTCGAATAGACCGGAGCCTGTGTTAATTGTAAAATAATAATAATAATATAATAATAATATAATAATAATATAATAATAATATAATAATAATAATAATAATAATATAATAATAATAATAATAATAATAATAATAATAAAAAATAATAATAATAATAGTAAATGGTGGTGTATCTTTCCATGTTGTAGTGAAAGATTGATTCCAATTGTGCATCTCGTTCACCTATCCCCTATACCGATAGGTGGATGGCATGCAAAATGACACTGAATCTTCCGCTAGAAGATGGAAAGATACACCGCCATATTCTAGCAATAATTTTCCCATGTTCTGGTGGAAGATTCATTCTCATTTTGAATGTGGGATCGGTATGCTAAATGAGAATGAATCTTCCCCTATAACATGTGAAGATACACCGCCGTATTTTTAGTTGAGAGAGAGAGAGAGAGATGGCCATGGGCCTCGCTCCACTACTTGACACATTCGCGAGAGACAAGAAATATGGCTATCTTCCCAAGATTTAGCGGAAGATCCATTCTCATTTTTGCCCATTTTATGTCCACCTCTCTCTCTCTCTCTCTCTCTCTCTCTCTCTCTCTCTCTCTCTCTCTCTCTCTCTCTCTCTCTCTCTCTCTCCCCCCCCCCCCCCCCCCCCCCCCCCCCCCCCCCCCCCCCCCCCCCCCCCCCCCCTCCCCCCAAACACACACACACACACACACACAAAATTAGTTTTATGTTTGTTTTTCTAAGTACTTTTACTCACCTAACTGAGCACCTTTAAGTAGTGCCAAACAATCAGTGGTGACTCATTTGGAGTGCCTACTGCGCTCTTAGGGGGCTGCTCAGTTCGGGATGTCTGTGTTGCCTTTGGGTGATGATGGATGCTCGTCGGAGTGACTCCCTGACTCAGTGGATGATGGGAACCAACAGTCTGCGGTGTTCAATTGTGATGAGTAGGTGATGTGCTGCTTTGCTCCGTGCTGGATGTGTGGACGCCTCATTTGCGCTTTACCACTGCCTAGCTGCTTGTCCTGCTTGCTTCACACGTGGTTCTCTGCAAATTGTTGTGTTCGTTGTGTGGTGTGGGCGTGTTGCTGGTGTTGCCTTCCGCTTCGCTGCTTCGATGCCTTGCTGCTCATCCGCTGGTCGTACCTTCTGTGTTTGTTGCTTGCGTGCCTTGTAGTTCACTTGCCTTGTAGGTGTTGCCTTGTGCTCCATTGCTTGGTTGCCATGCTACTCAACTGCTAGCGTTGTCGTTCCCTGTTGTGTGGTTGCCTTGTTGGTGTTGCCTTGTGCTTCACGGCGTGGTTGCCGCATTGCTTGTCCTGCGCACCGTGTCGTTCCTTGTAGTCGTTTTTGGCGTTGTGCAGCCGTGTTGCCTCTATTGTGTTGTCTGGTGCTCCGCAGGGTTGCTGCCCGCTGCTGTGTTTCGTTTGGGGGACAGTCCGCCTTCAACAAGGGTCAAAGGGTTAATGATCCAAACCATCCAATACACCGAGATGCGGGCTAATTATGCGCACTATTCGCCACCGAGATGCGGGCTAATTATGCTCAGTATTCGAAGGGTTGTTGAGTAGGCCTCAAGGTGCTGACCGGAGGCCTCAAAAAAAGTTGCACTCAGGTTTTACGATGCAGCCCCACATACCCCCTAGTTTGTTTCAGCCCCCAAATGACTGAATACCAATCAGTATCTGAACTAGGATCGTAGGCAGCAACTATGTTACCTGCAAATGGGCACATGCGCCCGAAGATTGGCTTTTTTTCTTCTTTTTCTTCTTTTTTCTTTTTCGTTTTTTTCGCTTTTTTCACCTTTTTTCGCCTTTTCGCTCTTTTCCTCATTTTTTTCCCACCTGCGCGCGCGCGCTCTTTTTGCCTCCCTTCACCGACAACAATTCGACTTCCGACTCTTCTTATACTGTGGTCGATAGACAATCTATCTTTTTCTACGCTTGTACAGCTACGCACAAGCTGAGGCGGCGGCCGCGTTGCATCTATTCCAGACGACTCACTTGCCCCGCCATTCTTCTGAGTTCTCGACCGACTCCTTCTGCGACTTTATCCTCCTGCTTCCACGGCGCGCTAAAGCTAAGTTCTCTCTCTCTCTCTCTCTCTCTCTCTCTCTCTCTCTCTCTCTCTCTCT